GGCAATATCGCAGGCCCCTCCTCAATCACTGGCAGATCCAGGGGGACATGCCCCCAAAAACGAAGGAAAAAAAAAGTAAGAATGATTTTAGCCCACAAACAGGTAGTTTTTAGTATGATTTCTTGCAATGTGAAGTATATTTTCGAACCCCCACCAGAGGCCCTAAGACAGACCCATGGATCTCACACCACAGATGCTTGTGTTGCCATCATCTCTCAAAAATCTTGCCCCCCCAAAAAACACTAACTTTGGATCTGCCACTGTCCTCAATATTAATTGAAGGCCACTACTGAGCTGAAGTAAAAAGTTTAAGTAAATCTAATGTCACTGGTACCATGATAAGTAAACCTCACTACAACTTATGTCATGAATATATCTGGATCACTTCAAAAGTAAAAAAGTGAGCATGATTTTCCAAACAAGTAAAGTATTTTATTTACAAACAAAGAAATTTTAATACCAACATACTCATTTCTTCTGTACAATTTTAATTTATTAAATTCAATGTTTAAGACTAAAATATAGAGTATAATTAATATAAATATGTATATAAAAACTGGCAGGAATACATTTGGATGACAAGACTAAAGCCAAACGAATCAGAGCAGTAGTTAAAACATAAAGCGAAACACTACAGAATACTTTTCCAATATCAAACATAAAAGTCACAACTGCAGTGGACTTTGTTATATTGTTTCAGTCAGCTCAGATTAAATTAATAAAATATGTTTTGAAAAACTGAATCCTTGTTTGAACCAATTTAGCTAGAAAGTGGCATTAAACAATTTTGTTTAGTTTTTAGCTTTATAGTAATACTCTGCAGCCTTAAGATGCTTATAAAAATAGTAAAAAATAACTGGTTTTAGTACTTGTAGTTTTATTGATGCACAAAATAATTAAAAAAGGTTTATAAAACTACAAATACACATCTTTAATGATAGATGTTTTGTTTGGTTCCTTGAAAGATTTAATGAAATGTACAAAACACTGTACACCCTCTTGAAGCACCAGAAAACGTTTTGCATCTTTAAGTAAAATCAAGAGAAAATCAATGTTTGGAGCATTTATGTTTTAAACCTGTAAAAAAATCAAAGAACATATCATTAGTTCTATAGATATAAATAAACAACACAAATGAAACCATTAAATGGTTATGTTCAACAGATACTAAAGGTAAAATGTACAATAAACATTATAAGCTCATGCAACACAATCTATGCCATTCGTGTGAAAGTTTTTACTTAGATAAAAAGTTCATATATTATTGTTAATTAACTTTCATTTATGAATTTGTCATTTTAAATGTGAGAATAATTCAATAAAGTTGCATGAATGCTAACCCTAGATTATATTCGTATGTTACAGTCTTTCAAGTTCATTTATTAGACTGAAAACTAGTAGCAAGTAAATATAATATGGAGTTAGATTAGAAGTATAAGTTATTTAACTCTGTTTTTACATTCTATTTAAAACTACATTTTATTTAATTGAGAAAGTAAATGTAAATACATGGGAATAATAAACTGTGAATTTTGAAGCTTTCATTATCAGCATGTGTTTTTTCTTTACTTAAGATGTGTTCAAGCCTGCGCTAACAATATCAAGTCATTCTGCTTACATTATTAAACTTTAAGTTTAAAAACAACAAAGTGAACTAATAAATACAGTGCCCACTGTCTAGTTTCTAGTTATTACACAAAAATAACTACTTTTCTGACCAGAAACAAATGCTGTATTATACGAACTTTGCACTACAGAGCAAGGAAGTGTCACTTTAAAGAACACCTTTAAAAATGATTAAAAAAAACAAAACTATTCATTACTCTTTTTCTTAAACAAATAATAGTTAATAATAATCTACAATTTGATTAACTATAACATATTTAAATAACTACTTACTAGCTTTCTTCAACCAATATTTAGATGAAAATATTCTGAGGGATCATTTTCAATTCCAGCCTTATATGTTCATCTATCAAATTCATGGAATTTCAATATAATTTTAATTTTTTCAAATAGGCTTTTTTGGCAACAAAAATATTTTCATCTTAGAGGCATAAGCCTAATGAAGTGATTGAATATCTTGGAGTTCATCAGTAATTTCCATTCTCCATCATTACTGAGCCTACAAGTGCACCCTGAAATGGCAAGAAACCATCTAAGCAAAGCCATAATTAGCTGTGAGGACACCAAGGTTGTTTCCTTGGATATTTTTATATATATATATATATATATATATATAATAAATAAGTAGGTAAGTTATAGCTACCAAACCGTACGGTTCACCATATTAGAATTATTAG